TATACTTAATCATTTCTTTCTGCAGGTCTTACCTTCAGTTGAAACTGACTTCGGGAAATTTTATATGACCAGACCTGCCCCAACCTTGTCCTTCGACAATGTCTTGTAGGAGGAGTCTCTCGATTCAGTGGCTTTGCAGAAGGGTCTACAGGAATGCAATGGGCACCACAGTGGGTCTAGTAACTTTGTCAAGGAGGTCTAGAAACAATTCTTTTATGTCTGGAAGGACAGTAGAGAATGAGTGTTCAGAAACCCAGAGTCCCTGGGGCCTTCCCTTCATAGTTAAACTCTGGGCCCTGTGCTGGTCAGTCCAAGTGCTTTAGGAAACAGAATTTGTCTAACACCAAGTCATCTTCAGAGAATTCATCCTATGTTCCTATGCACTATTGAAAACAAGATCATTTTGTTGATTTAAAAGTTCAACTTGTTGGGGCTGGGAAGGTGGCTCAGTGGTAGAGCGCTTGCCTTGTATGCATGAGGCCCTGGGTTCAATTCCTCAGCACCACATAAGCATAAAAAGCTGGAAGTGGCCCAAGTGGTAGAGTGCTAGCCTTGAGCTGAAGAGCTGAGGGACAGTGCCCAGGCCAAGTTCAAGCCCCACAACCAGGGCTATGGAGTATTGGTACACATACCTATTTGAGAGTATTGGAAAGCGTGTAATTTGGCTAGCATTTTTCATTTTCTTCATAGTTCTCCCACTTTTATATCAGACTCAGGAGGAAATAGAACTGCCCAAAATGAATTTCCTTTAATAAGACAAATGAACATCTTTCATACCTCAAATCAACATTTCATTTACAGATGTTTACAGATTCATAATCTGATAGTTCATATTGGACTGGAAACCCTTTAAATGGTATTATGCTAGTATGAGCTAGAAAACAATAAAGTAGTTTGTTGTTGTTGTTTACTGTTTATAGTCTATGCAGCAACTGCCTTCCATTGGGCTTCTTTAGACCCCTACAAGTGGCTTTTCTACTTGATATTTTTAGATCCTTCTGCCATCAGTGGAGAATTGGAAAGCAAAAAGTAGCTAGCTACTGTTGCTGTTACTCTCAATTCGTTCTCTGAAACTGTTGTCTAGTGCTTGTAATGACCAGGAATGGACCAAATGTAAGATGGGCCAAATAAGATGTTATTATCTGAAAATACTTAGAACTGGATGGGAAGAAATAACCAAGCTTCTCAGATGTGGCTGGGTTTTGAAAGTTTAGTTTTGGTAGCTCTCATAGGGCCAACACAAAACACAAGTCCACTTCTATATGGGTGCCTGAGGGGCGGGGGGGGAATAACTTGAAGAAAAGAAAGCAATTTGTTGACAACTGAAACAAACACCAAGTTTTCAGGAAGTACCAAGATTCATAATCCTTAGATAGATTGAAAAGAGATCTCAAAAAAAGAATTAGCTACAATAAGAAAAATCTAAAGGAATGTTTAGTAAATTCAAATAAATTATATCAAATTATTATTTATTACATTGGATGTGGTTTTAAAATATTTTTCTTATATTTTCATGTGAATACAATTATTTTTAAAAGCAACTCCCTAGTTTATTTCTCATTGACAGACTTAACCAAGGTGTGATTATGAATAAAACAAGGTTAACAGATGAGAAATTGCTAATCTGTAATTTATTTATTTATTTATTTATTTTTGTCGGTCGTGGGGCTTGAACTCTGGGCCTGGGCGTGTCCCTCAGCTCTTCAGCTCAAGGCGAGCGCTCTACCACTTGAGCTACAGCGCCACTTCCGGTTTTCTAGTGGTTTATTGGAGATAGGAGTCTCACGGTCTCTCCTGCCGGGGCTGGCTTTGAACCAAAATCCTCAGATCTCAGCCTCCTGAGTAGCTAGGATTACAGGCGTGAGCCACCAGCGCCCGGCCTAATCTGTAATTTATAAACTGACTTACAAAAAATGTGCCTCATGAAGCTGGGCACCGGTAGCTCACACTTACAATCCTAGCTACTCAGGAGGCTGAGATCTGAGGATCATAGTTCAAAGCCAGCCTGGGCAGGAAAGTCTGTGAGACTCTTATCTCCAATAAACCACTAGAAAACCGGAAGTGGCGCTGTGGCTCAAGCAATAGAGCGCATGCCTTGAGCTGAAGAGCTAAAGGATAGCAGAGTTCAAGCCCCACAACCGACAAAAACAAACAAACAAAAAATATACCTCATGGAGTGTGGTAAGAACACATTAATCATGGTGCCAGGAGGTTGGTGCAGAAGCCCTTACCATCCTTACAGCTAGTATTAGTATTCCATGTGCCAGAGCACACATTACACAAAATGTTTTTTGGGTTTTTTTGGGGGGTCCAGTTGTGGGGCCTGAACTCTGGGTCTGGGTGCTATCCCTCAGTTCTTCAGCTCAAGGCTAGCGCTCTACCACTTGAGCCACATCGTCACTTCCGGCTTCTTTCTTTTTTGCTTATGTGGTGCTGAGGAATCGAACCCAGGGCCTCATGCATGCAAGGCAAGCGCTCTACCAGAGCCACCTTCCCAGCCCCACAAAATGTTTTTGTTGGGAAAACTACTGGGATCTGCAAGGTGTAGGGATTTCCACCAGCCATCCAGCAATCATGTGCAGTAGGCATTGAATCTGACAATCTGGGTTCCATTAGTTTGCTTAAGCAGCTTGCAGAACTCAAGAGAAACACTTGTATTTATTAGTTTACTATAAAAGGCACTGCTAAGAATGCAAAGGCAGAGGTGCATAGAGTGTGTATGCCCAAAAGGGTGTGGAAAACTGTCTGGTATACCACCCTCCAAGAACCTCACATTTGCTCATCCACAAGTTCTCCAAAGCCTGAACATTTGCAGTTCATGAAGGCTTCAGTACATGACCTTGGCCATTGATGATCATCTCTCTCATCTCATCAGGGCTTGTAGAGTAGGTCTGAAAATGCTTACCTTTTGAGTTCTGCTTTGCTCTTTCTGGTGCTTCAGTCCTCAAGTGGTGGCCAGCCACCCTTTAACTCATTAACATACAAAAGATGCTCATTTCAAAAGGATGATAGAATTTTCATATCAAATACTAAGAGCAAATGTATATTTTCCAGTATCACACTTAAGTAGTTTCATTTAATATCTATTTTCAAGTACATACCATTTCACTTGGCAGGTGAACACACTGAGATTCAAAATCAAATGGGCTGGGGATATAGCTCAATGTGTGCTTGCCTAGCATGTGCCTAAACCCTGGGTTTGATCCCTAGACTGTAAAATAGTTTTGCCATTGGGAACATGGTTGCTGAGCCACAAGGCTGAAATGGGAAGCCAGGTCTCCAGAGCTCATGGATGTAACTACTACATGATGCTGTTCCACACACCTTGTTCTGTGCAACAACAGTAGGGTAGGAGAGAGACACAACACCAAAATGAAACCCAGCAGTGGGCTGGGAATGTGGCTTAGAGGTAGAGATGCTTGCCTAGCATGCATGAAGCCCTGAGTTCAATTCCTCATTTCCACATAAACAGAAAAAGCTGGAAGTGGCACTGTGGTTCAAGGTAGAGTGCTAGTCTTGAGCAAAAGCAGCTCAGGGACAGTGCCAAGGCCCTTGTTTCAAGGGCCCAGGACTGGCAAAAAAATTTTTAAAAAATAGCAGTACTTACCCCTTCATATAGAAATCCTGCCTTAGCTACAAAGGATAATTCCAAGACCCCCAGTGATGCCTGAAGCCTAGGTAGTACTAGACTATAGTCAAGAACTCTCACCTTACAAATAAAAGCAAAATGAGGGTTAGTTAATACATGCACCTGATCTAATAAGGCAATGTAGTAACAAGGGTAGCACGCAATGGGACATGCTACTTAATAGGCACACTATCTAAATGTTGAAATGTTTATTTCAAGAAACTTCCACTTTTATTTCTGGACCACAGTTAGCTGGAGGGTAACTGAGAACTTGCAGAAACTGAAAATTACTCTAGATGAGGAAGGGTTGTCACACATTTAGTTCACCCTTGATTGCTTTTCAAGTGCTGACAGCGGAAATCTGCAGGACAGCTTCCTTCTTAGGCAGCAAGCTGAGTGTAGGAATGGCATCTCTCCACTAGGTGGCTCCTGCATACTACAGAAAGGATGCCTATCAGCTAAAGAGGAAGCAAAGCCCAGCTGTCTTTTAATGCTACCTACTTCCTTCTTGTTAAAATTTGTACCTTATTTCAAATGGCATAAGAAAAACCTTTCCTTTTTTCCTTTCTGTGCCAGTACTGAGGCTTGAATTCAAGGTATCAAGCTCACACTCAACTTTGTTGCTCATGGCTGGCACTCTACCATTTGGGCTACACTTTTACTTCCAGCTTTTTGCAGGTTAAGTGGAACAGGAGTCTATTCTGTCTGGGTTGGCTTTGAACCACAACCTCTTATCTTATCCTTCTAAGGATTGAAGGCAAGGCATGAGCCACTGGTGTCTGGATTTATTTTTTATTCTTAAGACAAAACTAAACACTACTGTACATTTAGGACTACACTACATCCAGGGTCCAAGGACACAAGTTTCTTTACCAGCCACTTACTTTACCTGGTTCTGAATCCTAGAGATCCCCCATCCACATGTTTTCTCTTTTTTTGCTTTGAGATAAGATCTCCTGCATCCTAGGCTAGCCCAAATGCATAATCCTCCTATCTCAACTTCAAGAGCATTGGGATTAGAGTGTGTGTGCTCAGCTCTATCCAAAGTATCCAAGAACCAATCAGAATTCAACTTTAATCTTTTGGGAATTGTTTTACTTACTTTGATAAAATCTAGGAAAATGAAATACAAGCTTATCTGTAGATTAACATAGATGTAAGTACATGTTTAAATTTAAAGGGTAAATAAAAATACAATAGCCCAATCTTGATTTTTTTTGGGGGGGGGGTCCAGTCATGGGGCCTGAACTCGGCCTGGGCGCTGTCCCTCAGCTCTTCAGCTCAAGGCTAGCGTTCTACCACTTGAGCCACAGTGCCACTTCTAGCTTTTTTCTTTTTGCTTATGTGGTGCTAAGGAATCGAACCTGGGGCCTCACGCATGCAAGGCAAGTGCTCTACCACTGAGCCACCTTCCCAGCCCCAATCTTGATTTTTTTTAAAGAGCCATTCAACTGCCACCAGAGGCATCAGTGCGTGTTTGTCAGCAGGCTGACCACTGTACAACCTGGCATGGGCATTCATGTGCATGGCCACGTAGTTCTTCAGCAAGCCAACGAGTTTCATTCAAGTCGACAATCTTCTCAGTCCTTATCTTGTTTATCTGCTGATGTAGGGTTCCTAGGAAGGCTTAGCAAGGCATCAATTTTCTTAGCATCTTCCTCAGCTCCATTTTCCTGTAAGCTACTTTCAATTTCCTCAGGGAGGAGTTCAGTAATTTGCAGACTGGTTTTCCTATAATCAACGAATAAAAGGGACAACAAAAATAGTGTTTGCCTTGCTCTTCTGCTTTGACATGACAATCATGACCAACACTACTACTCCTTTCTCCTAACCTGTTCCATTCCCAGCTGGCCAGGTGTCAGTCCTACAGTAGCCGAAGCCCCAAACTAGGACACGGTGCCCCCAGTTCCTACCAAGCGACATACCTGTGCTAAGGTTAAGTTGTAAGATGCTGGGCTGTCCTCTCACCCTGGGAACCTAGAGGATGGAGCACCTGCCCACTGCAGTATAAACTTTACTCCACAGACCCAACCTAGGAAGCAGGCAGTGTAGCACAACTCTGGAGATATGGATTTGTGAAGATTAGATCCTCCTTTCCAGACAATAGATTAGTTTTCCTAGCAAGTGTTACTATCTTCAAGTGATAATCAGGGTCTTTCCCAACTTTCTCCTTAACCTTATGCCCATTTCCTCCATGCCCCTATCACCACTTTTCTGTACTTCCCACCAATGTAGGCAGTTATTAAACTGTTCATAAATATTTTATTAAAGTTACTATGAAACTCCTTGTAATATTTTCAGCCAAAGCAGCAGATAATCCCTTATGCATTTTCTAAACTTTCCTTAGAAATTCCAGACATATACAAACGCATACTTACACAGGAGTTCTACCTCAACACTATTTTCTGTTCCAAACCATTCTTTCATTATTCTGATTCAAATTATTGCTTTTACTCATTCCTAAGGTTTTTCCAGCTGTACATCAGTGACAACTTCCAGTTTTCTCACTTCCTTTTAAATTTTAGTAGTATTGTCTTTATTTTCCAGATGTTAATTCTAATATAGCATCCTAGAGCAGAGTCAAATAACCAATATGCTTAGCTTTTCTTTCTAACCTCTTTCTCAAAGCTTTCTTTGCTAAGAACTCTCTGTGACACCAGAGGACTAAACCAGCTAGTCTCTCATGTACTTGACTCTCCACAGCAGCACAATGAGAGCCTTGGGTGCTTCGTCAGAACCTAGGTAACTGCATGCTTGTGCTCCTGAGTGTTAGGAGACAAAGGTGTGAAACAACTGGACAATGTGGTAAATTCTGCTCCTTGGAAAAGCTGAAAGTCCGAGTAGTTGAAGGTAAGGAGAATGTGTTAGGTCACAGAACTAATTCAAAGTCTACCTGGGACTAAGCTCAGTTTTCATTTTCACTGGCTCTAAAATCAATATTCTTTTCCTACACCTTGAAGTCCTTGGACAGCAGATCTACAGATGTAGGAATTTCCGTGTGTGTGTGTGTGTGTGTGTGTGTGTCTGTGTGTGTGATGCAAACAAAACTTTCAAGTCAAATCACTTTCCACTGCCTCATCAACGGCCTCCCCACCATGTCCTCTCTAGCCCATGGAGGCTAAGCGTGAAGAACATTTGTCCAACCAGTAGGTAACAGCCTGTTACACTGACCTTCCACAGAGCCTGCACAAAGCTTTCCGTCATTCTGACTGCCCAGCCGCCAGGAAAGGGAGATTGCCTACCCCAGAGAGACATTAGATGCAACAGGCAAATCTTTTCATTAGTGACACTTTGTCTTGTCTACAGCAGGAAGTAATTTTTGGATGTGGGGATGTTCCATGTCATTACAGACATGAGGATAACACTCACTCAACTGGCCCAGTGCATCTCACTCCTGACCTGCATTCCCTTCAACTATCTCCCATGTAATCAAGAAAAGAAAAACTGCAGCTGGGCACTGGTGGCTCATGCCTGTAATCCTAGCTACTCAGGAGGCTGAGATCTGAGGATTACGGTTCAAAGCCAGCCCAGGCAGGCTCATATCTCCAATAAACCACTAGAAAACTGGAAGTGGTGGTGTGGCTCAAGTGGTAGAGCTCTCGCCTTTAGCTGAAGAGTGCAGGCACAGCACCCAAGCCCAGAGTTCAAGCCCCTGACCAACCAAAAACAAAAGAAAAATTGCCCTAATGAAATTTACATTCTGGGCTGGAGTTATGAGCAAAGTTGTAGAGCAAGCTTGAGAAGCTGAGTTCAAACACATATAAAAACCCCATATACACCCATCTTCCCCCTAGTACTAGAATTTGAACACAGGGCTTCCTGCTTACAAGGCAGCAGCTCTACCACTTGAGTCATGTCCCTATCCCTTTTGTTTTACTTATTTTTCACATAGAATCTTGCCTGGAACAGACCTCAGACTGATCCTCCCACCTATACTATCTCATAGGTGGTATTAGATACCAACTACCATATCCAGTTTATTTGTTGAGATGGGAATCTCACTAAATGTTTGCTAGTGCTGGCCTCAAATGGAAATCCTCCAGATCTCTGTCTCCCAAGGAGATGGGATTTTAAGTATGAGCCATGTAACATTTTAAGTACCTAAAGTTAGATCTACCTCAGATTAAAAAGAAAATTACTGAGTTTTTTCCCTCTTTTCTTAAATAGACAAAGAATACAAAAGGTATAAGATGAAGAACTCAGTAAAAACAAGTTCTTTGAGCTGAATGGGAGTTTAGAGCCATTGTTAACAGACTTTGCAACCAGGACTCAGAGACTATGGTCTCTACATGTTCCTTACCACTCTTTCAGTTTCAGTTCATGGAGGGTCTTCCAGTCCTCCTCTTTTTTCTCCTGGATGGTCTTGCCAGCATATTTCTGGAGTGACATGAGCAGGATTCCAACTGGCGTGCTAAGGGGAGAGCAGAGAGAAAAATTAAGGTAGACATGAGCCCATATGCTTTATGAATTTCTCTGCTAGGCAACACCATAGAGCCACATGCTGTCAGATATAGGAGGAATTGACAACTTAGTGCCTTCATCAAACAAAGACAAGTAAGTATCTTTTTTGTTGTTGTTGTTCTGGTCCTGGAGCTTGAACCCAGGGCTTATGTGCTGTCCCTGAGCTTTTGGGCTCAAGGCTAGCACTCTACCACTTGAGCCATAGCTCCACTTCTAGCATTTTATGGCAGTTAATTAAAGAGTCTCATGGACTTTTCCTGCCAAGGCTGGCTTCAATCTGTGATCCTTAGTCTCAACCTCCTGAGTAGCTAGGATTATAGGCATAAGCTATTAATGCCTGACAAATACTGAGCTACTTCTTTCTTGGTTTGAACAACAAAGAAAAATAATCATTAGAGATGGACATGGTAGCACAAGACTATAAACTCCACCAAAAAAACAAGACTTGGCCTGTAATAGCTATTGCCAATGAAGACGAGATCTTGCTAGGCACTGGTGGCTCACACCTACAATCCTAGATACTCAGTGGTATCTAGGATACCAAGTAGCTGGTATCTGAGATCTGAGACCATGGTTCAAAGACAACCCAGGCAGACAAATCTATAAACCTTTATCTCCAATTAATAAGGGGGGGGGAAAAAAAGGCTAGACAACGCATGGTTCATGTCATAGAGTGCCAACTGTGGCTGATAAAGCCAAATGAGAGTGCAATGTTCTAAGTTCAAGCCCAATACCAGGAAAAAAGGAAAAAGACTATAGAGATTTTTATGTGGATGTGCCTGTATTGGGGTCTGAACTCAGAGTTTTGGTGCTGTCCCTTAGGGCTTTTTTCCCCTCAAAGTGGCACTTAAACAACACTTCCACTTTTTTTGCTTTTTTTTTTTTTTGGGTGGTTAGTGTTTAATTAGCTTCAAACTGTGATCTTCAGATTTCAAGACTCCAGAGTAGTTAGAATTGCAGGCGTGAGCCTGAGGGCTACATGATCTTTTATTGGCCCTCAGGATCAGATTTAGAGTTTTTTTGGTAAATGAAGGGCATTTTTAATTCAAGGCACCAATAAAATTGTATCAATTTAGAGTCAAAACATGTTAATGCTTACCCCAACAAGGCTCCAATTATACCACCAGCCACCAGACCTCGCGTGCCTAAATTTATTCTGAAAAGACTTCCTGTGACAGCTATTTAACAAGGGGGAAAAAAAGGTGATATTGAATCATCTTTAAATATCAGAATCCATTTAAATTTTTTTTCTTCAGTAATAAGAACACAGACATACATCTAGATGAGCTTCCGGAACCCTATTAATACAGCACTACAGCCTAGATTTCCTCAACCCAAAAGGCTCTTGCCAGGAGTTTCCCATCTAACACTATAGATTCCAAAGGAGAAATGTCCCTTAAAAAAAAATTTCAGGGGCTGGGAAGGTGGCTCAGTGGTAGAGTGCTTGCCTTGCATACATTAGGCCCTGGGTTTGATTCCTCAGCACCACAGAAGCAGAAAAAGCCAGAAGTGGTGCTAGGTGTAAATTGGTAGAGTGCTTGCCTTGAGCTGAAGAGCTGAGGGATAGCGCCCAAGCCCAGCATTCAGGCCTAGTGACCAACCAAAAAAAAAAAATTTCACTGGGAGAGAACAAAGGAGATGGGATGACATTGTCCAAAAAGAAAAAAAAATGTACTCTTTACCTGACATATGTAACAACAAAAATAATCTTGAAGTAGCTGTACAAAGAGGAATGTCATTTAGCAAAGTAGTTCATGAATCAATGTATCTTGATCAATGTCACCAATTTCAGATATGTCCCCTTTATAAAAAAATAAGTATCAGTCTGTCCAATGGGTCCACAGGACCCATTCTGCTTCATTTTTGTCCATTAGCCCTATAAGTCTACAAAAAGTCCCAGCACAAAAGTCTCTTCTTTTTTTTTTTCTTCTTCAAGAGTTTTCTTAAAATTAACAAAATCCTTCCCTAGGTAGGGCAGAAAAAGATTCCTCCCGGGCTGGGAAGGTGGCTCAGTGGTAGAGTGCTTGCCTTGCATGCTTGAGGCCCTGGGTTCCATTCCTCAGCACCACATAAGCAAAAAGAAAAAAAGCCAAAGTGGTGCTGTGGCTCAAGTGGCAGAGCGCTAGCCTTGAGCTGAAGAGCTGAGGGACAGCACCCAGGCCCAGAGTTCAGGCCCCACGACCGGACCCCCCCCCCCAAAAAAAAAAAGATTCCTCCCAGTCTCACCCTCTCTGCCACCAGCACCTGGCAGGCAGTGCCTACAATGCCATCTGGTGGCTAGGGTGAGCGGTTCCCTTCCACCCTCCCTCCTGGGAATGTGCATCCATGATGTCCATTTACTTTTCCCTCTCACTGTGCACACTGAAATAAATTCCACCTCAAGGAGCAAGTGATACTTTTCTTATGAGGTGCTGAGAACTGAACCCAGAGCTTTGCACATGTTGGAAAAATGCTTTACAACCAAGTTCTATCCCCAACACAAAATTTTTAAAGAATAAACATTTGAAATCATAGTTTTATTTATATATATATATATATATATACACATACATACATATATAAAAATCACCAGGAGCCAGTGGCTCACACCTGTAATCCTAGCTACTCAGGGGCTGAGATCTGAGGATCACGGTTCAAAGCCAGCCCTGGCAGGAAAGTTCTTGAGACTCTTATCTCCAATTAACCACCAGAAAACCGGAAGTGGTGCTGTGGCTCAAGTGGTAGAGCACTTGCCTTGAGCTGAAGAGCTGAGGACAGCACCCACGCCGAGTTCAAGCTCCATGACCAACAAAATAAAAAAGAAAATAAAAAAAGAACAAAAACCATCTGTAGTTTGATTGTTTAGAGATAGTAAAATGTTGCTCATTTGTTTCAGTCTTCCAAAGGCTGTTTTTTAATTTTTTTTGGGGGGGGGGGGGGGGGGGGGGGGGGCAGGTGGAAGAATGGTACAAGGGTTTGAATTCAAGCCTTGTGCTTACTAGGCAGGCACTCTACCACTTGAGCTATAGCCCCAATCCCGAAATTGTTGTTTTTTGTTTTGTTTTGTTTTCCAAGTGGAAGCCTTACTGTACACATTAAACTTCTGATTTTCTTCCAACATATTAAATGCCCTATCACCAAAAGTAAAAATTCTGTACCAATAAAATCTCTTACATGATTCTATTGCATTAGATATACCACAAATTGTCCAGCACAGGTTTTCTATGTATAGAGGTTTTAAATAAAGGCATAATGATAATTCCTGTACACATCTTTATACTTTTGTTTCCAGAGCACCAACTCAAGAAATGGAGTTTCCAGCCAGTCACTGGTGGCTCACACCTGTAACTCTAGCTACTCAGGAGACTGAGATCTGAGTATCATGTTTTGAAGACAGCCCAGGCAAGAAGTCTGTGAGACTCTTATCTCCAATTAACCACCAAAAAGCTGGAAGTGGAGCTAATTTTTATAATAGAGGAGGTGAGTTTGATCAGAATACATTGCATGTATATAGGGAAATGTCACAATGAAACCACACTTGTACAATTAAAGTATGCTAATAAAGTTAAAGGCAAGCATTTATTAAAATGCATTATGACTGAGGGGAAGGGAGTGGGGAGTGACAAGTGGGAGAAATGAGGGGGTAACAGTGTTTAAAAAGAAATGTACTCATTGCCTTACTTATGTAACTGTAACCCTTCTGTTCATCACCTTTACAATAAAATTAAAAAATCACTGTGAAGCCGGGCACCAGTGGCTCACACCTGTAATCCTTGCTACTCAAGAGGCTGAGATCTGAGATCGCAGTTCAAAGCCAGCCTGGGCAAGAAGGTCCGTAAGACTCTTATCTCTAATAAACAACCAGAAAAACCGAAGTGGCACTAAGGCTAGCAGAGCGCTAGTCTTGAGCTGAAGAGTTGAGGGACAGCGCCCAGGTGCAGAGTTCAAGCCCCATGACCAAAAAAGTGTCTTACCTCCTGCAATGACAAAATGATTCAGAGCATTTTTATTTTGGTACACACTGAGTCCTGTGGTCACTGTGCTGGGAAGAAGGGAGGAAAAGTAAAACAAAATTCAAAGCACATCCCATTTACCTTTGACTGCTGTTTTCACTAAAATGTAAAGAGTCAAAGAGCCTCTACTTTAGTCCCCGGTCCTGGTATAGGTCCCTCAAAGTATGCTATTCTGCTGATATATAAGGTAGACCTTCTGTTGAAAAATGAATTAAGGAGCATTCAAGTTTCTGGGATGAATATTCACTTAGAAGGGTTCTGCAGCATTTTCTTTTATAGAAACCATGCATCTAAACCAAGTGTGGTGTTGCATGCCTATACCCCAGCACTCTAGGAGGCAGGAACAATGCAAGTTGTAGGTAAATCTGGATTACAGGTGAGATCCTGCTCAAAAAAAAGCAAAATAAAGCCACATAAAACCCTTTATCTACTTTTATCCCATTTGGGGTACAGCAGTACGCTTGGACAATTGTACCAACCTCCTAGACATAGGTAACCCAAAAGATTTTGAGGAAAAAAAGGCATCTGAATTCCTTTCATGTGAGTGCTCCGTTCGGAAGTGCTTACTTGAACACAGTCACAAACATCGCAGTTCTCCAACTCCAGCGCCAGCCGTACCGAATGAAACCTCGCGTGGCAGCACGATGTGCGCTTTGCTAAAAATAATGAAAACACTGTGAGGTTCCAAGACTTCTGGGTGCTTTTCCTATTCTGAAACTGTAATGGAACAATGTCAGCTATGAACTCAGTCCATATAGCTAAGCAGAGATCTGGAAATATCAAGCTTTACGCAGACTCAAGCAAGTCTCAGACATCCACGATAACATGGAGGGAAAGGGAACCAAAACAGGCTAGAGTCGCTCTGGTAATTCAATCATTCCCCTGAAGATGATTCAGCAGCCACCTTGACAGTGAGGAAAGGGAAAGGGTGCTTAGAGAAACCTCATCTAGACCAATTTAATTAGCAAAAGAAATGACAACAGAATGAAGTAAGAAACTATAACTGACACAAACTATACATGCTATCATGCATTACATAACCACCAAATGAAGGTGATCTCATGAGATTATATTGCAGTGTCTTTGTAAATGTCCTGTTCATGTAAGTGCCTCTATGATGTCCACACATGGCATTTCTCAAAATGATCAGTTGCTGACACATAAATAAATGTGGGGGTAGGAGGGTACTTCCTTAGAGCAGAACACCAAGCACAGGTATAGAGTTAGAAAATGCCCATTTCGGGCTGGGAAGGTGGCTCAGTGGTAGAGTGCTTGCCTTGCACGCTTGAGGCCCTGGGTTCAAGTCCTCAGTACCACATAAGCAGAAAAAAAAAAGCTGGAAGTGGCACTGTGATTCAAGTGGTAGAGTGCTAGCCTTGAGCTGAAGAGCTGAGGGACAGTGCCCAAGCCCAGAGTTCAGGCCCCACGACCGGACCCCCCCCCAAAAAAAGAAAGAAAATGCCCATTTTGTAACCACCACTGTAACTACTATCTTAATGCTAAAACTAGAAGGTAGGGATTTGGAAAAAAAATGGAGTATTTCTAAAATCTCAAAGGATATAACAAGTACCCATAAAATATTTATTATTTCAAAGGTAAAAAGAGTAATTTTACAATGGACAAGCCTGGCAGGTGCCACCTTAACCAACTAAATATCAAAAGTAAAAAGGCAAACAGCTGGGTGCTGGTAGCTCATACCTGTAATCCTAGTTACTCAGGAGACTGAGATCATAAGCTCTCGGTTTGAAGTCAGCTGGGCAGGCAAGTCCAGTGAGGCTCTTATCTCCAGTTAACTAGCAAAAAGCTGGAAGTGGGGCTGAGAAGGTAGCTCAGTGGTAGAGTGCTTGCCTTGCATGCATGAGGCCCTAGGTTCAATTCCTTAGCACCACATAAGCAGAAAAAGCTGAAGTGGCGCTGTGGCTCAAGTGGTAGAGTGCTAGTCTTGAGCTGAAGAGCTGAGGGACAGCGCCCAGGCCCAGATTTCAAGCCCCACAACCGACAAAAAAAGAAAAAAAGCTGGAAGCAGAGCTGTGGCTTGAGTAGAAAAGCTCAAGGACGAACCTAGGCCAAGGAACTGGTACCCCTCCCCTCCCCCCCCCGACTCCTCCCAAATAAAAGAACAAACAGATATCATGTGCTTCTGAGAGTATTCAGAGACCACATCAATGGCCGAGGAACTAGTACCCCTCTCCCCCCCCACCCCGCTCCTCCCAAATAAAAGAGCAAACAGATATCATGTGCTTCTGAGAGTATTCAGAGACCACATCAATTGTACGTGCCCACTTACAGACTGAATCTTATCATGAGAAACAATCAAACAAATCTAAGCTGAGGGACATTCAACAAAGTACAGAGCCCAAAACACTGCCAAGTTCAAGATAACCTGTTCCATAGTCAAAGAGACTGAAGAGGCATGGGAGACAAATTTAATGTTAGACCTTAGGCCAGGAGAAAAAGATGATTCCGTAAATGATAAGAACCAGGAAACTTCACAGTCTGTAGAGAACAGTCCTGGTTCCAGTGTTAACTTTCTGATTTTGATCATTATAACTGTGGTTATGAAAGAGAATGACTGGTACTTAAATATATGTGTAACTTCCTCTCAAACAGTTCAGGAGGAAAGTAACAGTATTCACTACACAGAGAAGCAAACACTGTACAAGGTTAACCATTGTGCAAGTGAAAGGTACATAGGAAATCTCTGTACTATTTGTGAAATTTTTCTTTAAATCTGACTTTCCAAATAGAAACTTAAAAAAAAAATCCTCTCAGCTTTAATTCCTCAGGTATCTAAAAGAACTGACACAAAGATCTGATGAGTGTTAATAATCTAGAATATGAAATTGTAAAAGTTTTATGGCACATTTTCTTACATATGCAGAATCTAGATCTAAAATGCACCTGGACATGATAAACTATACAGGACTCAAGGCATTCGCACATAATGGACAAGGATACACTTAGGGGGAGAAACACAAAAGCACACTATCTATGTGCCTCTGATCATATAAAATAGTATCTATGGAAATGAACTCTAGGAAATGGAAACAGGTTTTTTTTCTTTTTTTTCTTCTTTTTTTTTTCCCTTGTTTGCTCTTTATCTGTCTTTGGAAGGGTAAGGAGGGGAACAGAAAAGGTGGGACAATAGTGAACAAAAGCAGCAGTGGCACTCACTAGATACTATGTTGAAAATGAACTATACAACTTGTAGGTGGGGATGGGGAAGAAAAACTGAGAGGGAAGTGATAAATTGTCCACAAAGAAATGTATTCATTACCTCACATGTAGCTGTAACTCCTCTGTACGTCACCTTTACAACAACAATTCTTAAAAATTCATTAAAAAGACACTCATCTAAAAAAAAAAAGTTGTTTTAGGGATGGAGGCATAACTCAGGCGGTGAAGAGCCTCTCTACCAAGTATGAGGGCCTGAGTTCAAACCCTAGTTCTACCACAAATAAAGAATTATTGTTTTAGGGCTGGGAAGTTGGCTCAGTGGTAGAGTGCTTGCCTTGCATGCATGAGGCCCTGGGTTCATGGTTCCTTAGCACCACATAAGCAGAAAAAGCCAGAAGTGGCACTGTGGCTTAAATGGTAGGGCCTAGCCTTGAGTTGAAGATCTGAGGTGCAGTGCCTAAGCCCAGAGTTCAGGCCCCACGACCAACAAAAAAAAAAAAAAGGAATTTTTGTTTTAGTATCAACTAGGCCCCGATGCTTCCAGAGAGGTTATATGTTCAGAAAGAAAAGCCATAATTGTGATCCCACACCTGCTGGTTTCCAAGTTTAAATAGACAAGAATAGTGTAGGTTCTTTAGCCTTATTAAGAACAAACTTAAACAGTACTGGAGGGGTGGCTCAAGAGAGTTCCAGCTGTGAACAGAAAAAGCTGCTCAGCTAGAATGCAAGGCCTGGAGTTTGAGCCCAAGTCTGTACACATGTACAAAAGCACACACAGTTAATTTCTTTCCTCTGACATTAAATCTCTCTAAGCCATGATCTAACAAAAAGAATTAGAATAAAGTGAATTGCTCAGTTAGTGTGCATCTAAGTACTATTTGACCACAGAACTTACCACAGCGTCAAATCGGTTGTGATAAATTTCTCCTTGGCTCTGTTCAATATAGCGTTTTTTGGCATAAATAAAAGCTGGTATTCCTCCATATGCCCAGCCAATGATGCCTGCTGAAAGTGCTGCTCTGTAGATATTGTCAAGTTCCTGTGAAATCCTCTGATGCTCACTAAAACATCAAAAAGACAGTGTTGCTGTTGGGTAAAACACTACATTCAGAATTATCCCAAGTGCTAATACATTTTTCATTGTAGACAAAATGGATTAACTCTTTTACTGAATTAAACAGTAGTTACAGTAAAAACAGCATGGGCATGGAGGCATAATTCTTTAATCCCAACACTCAGAAGTCAGAGGCAGGATTGTGAGCTCCAGACCAACTGGGGCTGCATATTGAGCCTCTATCCTTTTTTTATTTGAAAGGAAACAAAAATCTCAGGCAAAACTATTCTGCTAGAAACTAGGATAGTGTTGATAGACTGACATTTAAAATTTGTATTTTATCTTTTACAATAACTAGGACCAAAAACATGTATTAAAAACTTGTCTGGGGTTGGGAATGTGGCTCAGTTATAGAGTGCTTGCCTAGCATGCATGAAGCCCTGGGTTCGATTCCTCAGTACCACATAAACAGAAAAAGCCAGAAGTGGAGCTGTGGTTCAAGTGGTAGAGTGCTAGCCTTGAGCACAAAGGAGCTCAAGGACAGTACCCAGGCCCTGAGTTCAAGCCCCAGGACTGGCAAAAAAAAAACAAAACTTGTCTCTAGCAAAACTCAGAAAACATGTGAAAGTAGAAAATGAGATGTGCATGCCTTGCCTCCTTTTAATTCTCTCAATAATGCTACAATACAACCAGAACCTATCTCCATTTTATCAACATGGAGACAGAAGTTCTACAAAGTTGGATGATTAGGCTATTAGGTAATCTTTCAAATATCTAATGAATGGTAAACTTATTATTACTGTACTGTAATGGATTTAGACTTAAGCAACAGTGGAGGAGGGGTCCTTGCTTTGCCACTCATTACTAACCAATCCAAAGCTGGTCACAGTCCCTCTGGATTTTGTTTTCTTCATCCACAATATGGAAGTGGGCATAAAAGTTCTATTACCTTTCATGTTTCTTCCAGAGTTAGTAATAATGCTGATCAAAATAACTCTCTTCTGTTATAAACTACATAGAATCTTTCACAAATATTCCAACTATTCAGAGACCTTGCAAATATATTGCCACATAAACAAAGACAACATAACCTAAGTAAAATAATGAAATACAAGTTGCCCAGCTCCCTTGCTTAACTTCCTCAGCAACATTGTATGTTTGCGTGTATATACATAGGCATATACATGCACACACCTATTATATATAAAGCTCTACTTATTTAAATTACCTCATGAAAGGGCAAACTTTCACCTGTAATTGCTAAATGAGTTAATGAATGAACTTGAGTTTTAAATCAATTGAAATTAACCCAATTTAAAGGGCTCTGATTGATTCTAAAATACCCCTTTGTTTTAAAATCTAACTATTTTATCAGGGTGTCGGTGGCTCATGCCTGTAGCCTGAGATCTGAAGATCGTGGTTCAAAGCCAGCCCAGGCAGGAAAGTCCAAGAGACTCTAATCTCCAATAAACTACCAGAAAATCAGAAGTGGTAGAATGCTAGCCTTGAGCTGAGGAGCTGAGGGACAGCGCCCAGGCCCAGAGTTCAGGCCCCACGACTATAAATATATATACACACACATACATATACCCTACTTATATTAAAATACAGTTCACATTGCTTCAACTGGCTTTGAACCACGACCCTCAGCTCAGACTCCTGAGTAGCTAGGATTACAGGCCTGACCTGCTACTCTTTTTAACTCATTAGTAGGCAAATTAAAAAAAAAAAAACTAACTCTTTGCTTCCTTAACTCCTATTTCTGGGACATTCTTGGTCATGAAGTACAGTAATTCTAGGATCAACTAAAAATCACGAAAAAAAAACCCAAAACTGGAGTGGGTTTCCGCAGACATGGGTCCCAGGGGCTTCTGCAGGACAGTAACGAGGCTGGCCCGAGACTTCCGAGAGCTCTTGGACTCGGTCAGGCGCTTCACCATCACACACCGACCACACTTGCCAGGACCCAGGCTCAGGGCCGACATCAGCGCGCCCGGAGCCGCCGCGAACTTCCACCCGCGGGCCGGTCCCCGCCCCCCGCCCCGCCCCCCGGGGCCCCGACCCCGACCCCCCCCAGCCCCGCCCCCGGGTCCCCGCCCCCGGCCCCGGGAGACGCGGTTACTCTTTGGCAAACAGCTCCCGGAGGCGGCCCCAGCCGGTCTCCGCGTAGCGCGGCCCCGGCACGCCGTGGGCCAGCTGACACGTCTCCGCCAGCACGCGGGAATCCGAGTCTGCGGCCGCAGCTCCGGCGGCAAGCACGCGGGCAGGCAGGCCCAGCGCCCCGCAGCGAGGCCTCCGAGGCGCCTCCATGTCCTCTCCGCCCTGAGCCTCAAGACCGTCCGGAGAGTGAGCGGGCGGGCGCAGGGGCGGCCCGAGCTAACCCTCGGCCAGGTCCGCCATCGCGGCTCCGGACAACCTTGCCGGTACAGCCCGCGGACTCACGTGGGAGGGCTCAAACACAGGAAGTCCCGTCCCCGCTAGGGCAGAGGCCAAGGGGCGGGGCGACAGCTGGGCCGGCACAAAGAACCACTTCCGGCTAGGGTGGGCTGGCGGTAGCTGTGCCCGCTCAGCCCCGGAAGTGAGTTGGCAGCGTGTGTGCACGCTGAGTGCGGTTTGGCCGAGTTTCCGGCGGGCGTCCTGGGAATTAAATGACGGGGGTGGGGGCGCCTGAGTGCGGCTCGCGCGGCCCGAGGCGAGCACGGGCCAGTCCCAGGGCAGCGCCGTGGTCTGGACAGCTGGAGTAGGCCCGGGAAGCCTCTGGAAACCTCGCAGGGTGGGTTCTCTGTGCTTAGCCCGTAAACCTTACTACTCTTGGAAGGAGAACTTCTATGAAGCCATCGGAAGCCCGAAGCACGTTTCCCGTGTTTCTAGCTGCTCACGTGGGTGCCTCAAAAGGTAGTGTGTGTGTTCAAATCCATGCAAAGGAGTCTTCAGCCGGCTGGCCGCACCTTAGTTTACCCTCTGTTAGTCACCGTCGTTGACATTCCTTTCACCAACTAAAACGTCAAACTACTGGTGCAGTGGCTCACTCCCGTGATCTCAGCTGTTCAGGAGGCTGAGATGTGAGGATCTGAGCCAACTCAGGAAGAAAAGACTGAGAGATTCTTAACCTACAATTAACCAGCAAGAAAACAAAACAAACAAACCAGACGTGGGAACGTAGCTCAAGCGTGTCACTCTGGAGCAAAAAAGTGCCCACAACTCGAGTATGAACACATAGATGATATTACTACAGTCTTTAGTAGTTATACAATAAAGAGAATCCTAGGATTTGACAACTGAAAATGCTATGAGAACTGATTGGCTAAAGTGACCAGCTGATTGGTCAGGGTCAGGACTTCTCTGGTGTCTGGGAGACTAGATCTAGCACCCATCAAAGCACCTACAACACTGTGTCATACTCTTACCTGCAGATCTAAGTAGACTATGAAGTCAGAGGCTACATATGTTCATCTCTACCTCTTGGGTCTGACATGAAGTAGGTTTTCAGTAAATTTTCCAGTCGGGAAAAAAATCAGAACCCCTAAATCCTTGCTCTACACTGCTCTTCACCTGCCCCATTTTTAGGGAGAAGTGAGCGCCAAGATGAGGTTCCAAAGCTTGAAAGCCTGCTCAACCTCCATGTAGAGAAAGCCAGATGCTTGCAATAGTCCAGCATGCTCAAAGTCTTAGGTTTATTCACCAGCACTAGGACAAGGGAAACAGACACAAAAAAATCAAAATGTTCTCATCCCAGAATCATTCTGGGATGAGAAAGTATTTGGAGTGTGATTTGTTAGAGGCTGGACAGATCTGCTGTTAAGCCTTTTACATATATTTACCCCATCACATGTTCCCCACTTCCCCAAGCCCTCAGATCCTTTCTTCTTCTTTTTTTTTTTAATTTTTTTTATATCCTTTCTTCTTTTTCTAAGGGAATACTTCTCCCTCTTCTGTGCCCTGATCTTTTTGAAGTGTCTCAGAGCAACTGTCCAAGTCAAAAGGTGTTAGGGGATATGACCTAACTATTCTGTAAATATACAGCTCTCATCCTTAGGAAATGTATGTGCCAGCAGAGTAACCACATCAAGGGAGGATTTCAGTAGTTAGCACACTGCCTGGAACTACCACTTTACCCTCAGCCCCTGTCGCAGAACCTTGCTCATAGAACCTAACAGCTTCTTTCTCCAAAGTAAATTTATTCCCAGGGGCCAACAGGTTCCCTTTCACTGACAATTTTACCAACTATAGGCCCTACTGCATATATGACATTTGGTTATGTTATCAAAACTCTATTTCATTAACCTATTCATTGGTTGAAAGAATGAATTTTTTTCTATATACAGATGTGACATACTTTGGTATTATTCATCCTCCATCATTCTCTTTCCCTTTCTTTCCCTTCATCTCCCCAAACAGTACCATAATTACAACTAGATTGTATGTTTGTATGTATGTGTATCATGTGTCTATATGTAATGTGTATATATACATTATACACATACACATATAGTATTGTACATATAAATGTATATGTGTATATGTATGTGTGAATATATTCAACCAACATGATGATCTTCAACTCCATTCACTTTCCTGCAAATGACAAAATTTTGCTCTGCTTTAGAAAAAAATGACTCTGGAGACTGAGCTAGTATCAATATTAACAAAAGCCGGTAATAACAAATCAATAATAACAAAAACCTTGAAAAATGAGGGAAAACAAATTATTTTTTAAAAACATACAGTTTACATAGTTATAAACCATCCTTATTCCATCTACTCTGAAGTAAACACACACAGTATAAAATCTGAGTAACTTTTGTTGTATTTTAGAGACAAAGGTGGCTTCTTCAAAGAGCAAATGAGGTTTTACATTGATCAACTCTTATGGTCTTATCCAATTCCCTTGGAGCCAATGCCTGAGGAATCTACAAATAGGATCTAATTCAACCAAGTGTCTCCATCCACCTTCCCATCCATCCATCCATCCAGCCAGCCAGCCAGCCAGCCAGCCAGCCAGCCAGCCATCCATCCATCCATCCATCCATCCATCCATCTACCAATTTGGGAAGAGGCATGCTGGGGATTTAACCCAGAATCTCATTCATACTAGACAAACACTCTACACCACTGAGCTTCATATCCACCCCTAAATATTTTTACTATTAATTCTGTGTGAGGCATTATGCTGGATAATGGAGTCATCAAGATGAGTAAAACCATGATTCCCACACATTAGTAAGCACACAGGATAAGAGAAATAGTCAAGCCATTAGAGTGTAATGTGATGTCCTATTAATACAGACCGGGGCAAAGTATTATGGTAACCCATAATTGCCAAGAATTAGAGAAATCATAGTGGTAAAAGCAAAAGAGCCCAGGAACAGCACCCAGGCCCCTAGTTCAAGCCCATGACTAACCAAAAAAAAAAAAAAAAAATCCAACAGCTTAGTTATCAAGGAAATACAACTCAATTACACCGAGACTTCCTCACCCCACTCATAATTGCTACCTTAAGAAAACAAAAATCCAAGAATTAGAGAAAGATTCAGGGATGAAGTTTGAGTTGCAACTTCAAATAAAATTGGGAAGAATCTTGGAGAAATGAAGCATTGGCTCCTAATTGGGAGGACATAATTACACATAATTGAGACTCATAGTAACACGGCAAAAACCACATGACAACTCAGAAATGTGCTGAGTATGACTATCATCTAAAAACATGTTTCCTATGAATTATCACCACTCAAACAAAAATAACTTCAAATATCTGCCTTATTTCCCCCCCACTTGGATATTGGGAATGGATCCCTGGGCCACACATATGTTAGACAATTATCTACTGTTCAAGCTATGTCCCCCTTCCATTTGCATTTTCTTTTTAATTTTGATTTCCCCCACTTTGAGCTAGTCCTGGGGCTTGAACTCAGAGCCTAGGTGCTATCCCTGAGCTTCTTTGCCTCAAGGCTAGTACTCTAAAACTTGAGCCACAGTGTCACTTCTGGCCTTTTCTGAGAAGTTTATTGAAGAGAAGAGTCTTATGGATTTCCCTGTCCAGGCTGGCTTTGAACCATGATCCTCAGATGTGAGCCTCCTAAGAAGCTAGGATTATAGGCATGAGCCACCAGCACCCGGCTATAATTTTCACTTTTTAACCTTGTTTTATTTTGGGTGGTATTAGGGTTTACTAGGCTAAGCACTCTATCACTTTAGCCACTCAATCAATTTTTGTGTTGGTTATGTTCAAGCTAGGCCCTTGCTTTTCATGCTCACACTGTCCTGAACTGGGTTCCGTATATTTCTTCCTGGGATGCCATTGCACCCAAACAGAGGTTCAGATGAAGCTTCAAAAACTTTGAAGAGGCTTAGCCTCCAACAGTAATCCCTGAGCTCTGCCTTCCAAATAGTTATATTACAGGTCTGATTCTATTTTGCTTTTGAGACAGTCTCATTTTGCCTTACGTGACCTCCAACTGCCTTCTGAGTGCCTGGGATTACAGGCTGTGCCATCATTCCCAACTATTTAACTCCTTTAAGAAGGCATTTAGGCATAAGATTTTGTGGAAGGGCCTTTGAAAGGCCAAATACATTTTTGACAAATGAAATAAAATCTCTGATTTCATTTGATTGAATCTCACATTTACTTATTTTAAAATTAATGAATATCAAAATTCCTAAGAGGCAAAAGAAGAGTTGGTTTCTGTATAGAAATTTGAATCTAAGGGACAAGAATAGATTCGAAGTTAAAAGACTATACAGTTTTAATCTCAACATTTTTCTTCATTTTTGACTATGTTAAAGAGAGCACCGAGAGATTATTAAACTAGTATCCAAATATCTTTTCCAAAAGGAAAAAAGGACTCCAACTGTGATTTACTGGAACAAGTGTCTCCCATTTTACATCTCACAGGTATAAAAGCTGACTGTTCTAAAGTTACCAACTTACTATGTGTTTGCCTGTAGGTCTGTACAACATTGAGCTAGTGCTGCTGTTTTATTTCAGAAGGAAAATGATAAAGTATGTAAAGGGTGAAAAACAGCTGCTCTCCTAAGCCATTTCTTTAGAGTGAGGATGAATTCTAAATTTATTAAGAAGTTTTATCCACTTCCTTCCTTTCCCTTTTTCCTTTTTTCTTGTCCTTTAGAGGGACAGTATAAGGAAAAGCATGAAGGCACAAAATAGGAGCTTGAAATCAGCTACAGTAATTACTCATGCAATTGGGTCCTTTCTATGTGGCATTATAGAAACCTCCTGAGTACCAAAGTTTATGCTTTTACAAAAGACAACTCCTACATCACTACATGGCACAGCCACTGCTTCTTCACACCTTTCAGGAAACAATCCCTAGGTATTTTTCACAAACCCCACAGGGTTTTCTATATTGAAATAAAGCAATAGCAGTCAAGCCTAAAATTAACATTTGTGCAGATGAGCTGAACCAGTTTCAAATGACTGGTTTTCTGCTCCAAATGCTGGAGCAAAGAGTGTTATCACTTGGACACAGTCAATTTCACAGTGATGAACACATACATACAGGTGATCTGATGATGATCTGAGGCACAAGCTGTGATTAGTCATTAAGTAAATGAAAGATAGAAGGTGTTCACAATCTATAGCTCATCATCTCTGCTCCTTATTCAGACATGGAGTTGAGCCGCTTCCTATCAGTGCATTACACACACTTTCTATCTTTCTTAAGAGTTGCTCTGGTGCAGCATGATAAGGAAAACCAGATGGCTGGCTTGATAAAAGGTGTTCCAAGTAAGGTCTTAGTAAGCTTCTTACCACAGGGTTATCTGCTGTCAGAAGACATTGGTCCTATAAGGACTCCTACAGTTCAGTTTTCAAAATTCTGGGACTAATTTGATCATAGCCTTTTCTTCTTGTTACATTATAGGACAGAAATTTGGAGTAATCATTCAAAAGGTTTTCCCAGTAACAGGTGATATCATCCATTTGCAAGTGGTTCATGATAAACTGGCTTCCCCTAGAGAAAAGATTAACAAGAATATTTTAAGCACAAAATTGAATAATAATAGCTTACATTTATTCACAGGGACTGATTGCAATGGTTTAACTCCTTCAAACAGCTAATTTCCAGTTTAACAAAACAAACACCAGGAAATGGAAAGGTGTTGTCAAGGAGAGGAGATCAAAGGGAAGGGGAGGCAGACAAATGAAGAGATGAAGGATGTGGTGAATGCAGTAAAAATATTCAATGTATATATGTGAAAATGTTAATTAAGGATACGGGTGGGAGACAGAGAACAATGGAAGGGGTGACATTGATCAAAATGCAGTACTCGTAAATTAATATTTTGAATTGAAACTACTTTTTACAACTAATTAAAGATAATTTAAAAATAATAAATAATTTTATTTTTAAAAATTAAAAGTAATTTTAGACAGGCACTGGTAGCTCACACCTGTAATCCTAGCTACTCAGGAGGCTGAGATCTGAGGACTTAAGTTCAAAAACAGACTCAGCAGGAAAATCTATGAAGCACTTATTTTCAACTAATCACCAAAAAGCTGGAAATGGAGCTGTGATTCAAGTGGTAGAGCACTAGCCTTGAGCAGAAATGCTCATGGACAGCACCCAGGCCCTCAGTTCAAGCTCCAGGATTGGAAAAACAAATTTAAGTTTTCTTAAAAAATAGCCTACATTCTCAATGGTTATCTTGGGCCAAGCCCTATGCAGATTACATTATATCAGAAGCAACCCTATGGCCAATACATACATATTCATGTATACAGTAATATAATTTAACATTTTCATGATTCTGAATTACTTTTGTATGATGAGGCTGAAGCATGAAAATCATCATAGTAATAATAGTTAGATAACTTCAGGAAAAAAAATGGGAATGCTAAAGTGAGGAAAGGGAAAACGAACAAAATTTACCTTTCAGCAATTTCCTGAGCAATATCATCATTTGCTTTCACAAACTGCAACAGCTCCCTAAAATGAAAAGAATCATGAGGTTCCAATATATACACTAAATTCATTAGTACTAAGTCAGACTGTAAATTGATCTCTAGCTAGGTCAATGTTGGATCATTTCTTTTTTATTTTTGTCAGCCATGGGGCTTGAACTCAGGGCTTGGGCGCTATCCCTCAGCTCTTCAGCTCAAGGCGAGTGCTGTACCACTTGAGCCACAGTGCTACTTCTGGTTTTCTAGTGGTTTATTGGAGATAAGAGGACTTTCCTGTCCAGGCTGGCTTTGAACCATGATCCTTCAGATCTCAGCCTCCTGAGTAACTAGGATTACAGGTGTGAGCCACCGGCGCCCGGCTTGGATCATTTCTTTAAAACAAAGATACTAGGGTCCTTGCAAGAACAAAATAAGGGGAAAAAATTCATATAAATTAAAACCAGCCTTATTATATATTTTGGATTTATTTTAGAAAAAACAGATGCTCAATGATAGAGATCAGAAATCAAGAATACTATCTTCAAATTTTTATCCTAATTTCCCTAAGAGGGAACTAGGCTCACACTTTGGCCCTTCTCCTATCTCCTCCCATCATGAGAGACTGATAAAAGTTTCATTTGAGTCAGTGCTCATACCATAATATGAAATCTCATTGACAATATTACAAGATCAAATGTCCCTATTTGAGGAATTAGAGCTTTCTCACTTCATCCTATCTGAATGTTACATTGGAGCTAGCATTAAAATACTTCTAGTAAAATCCCACTTACAGCCCACCTGGGTAATAATGCAACAGAACACAATATTTGCAAACCAAGTAAGAGGGATAAAGGCTTCACTGGAAAACGTCATTAAGGGTAGGTTAAAGGACTTCAGTGGCTGGTCTTGGAGGCAGACTGCAGGGCCATTTGAGCTCTGAACAGGGGGATAGCTGCTTACTGAACATTGGAGAGATCCGTTTTGACTGGGATATAGTGAACCCAGGGTTTCAGTTGTGGGTAGAAGAATTCTAGCCACTGGTCACCAACATGGAAAACAAGTGAACCACACAGGAAAAGGTGTTTGAACCGGAAACTTGCAGCTACGCCCCGAAAATTAAACAGATACCTGGGGGGGGGGAAGATGAAAATACATTTAATACTCTATGCTTGCAGCCACAAATATGTCCCTTTTTTTCCTTATTCCTTCCATTTTCTCTTCTAGAGCTGCAGGCTAGAGGCTGTTCTAAGAATGTCAGAGTGGGGGATAATTTCTTCAGACAGAGCTAGACTGAGTCAGAAGCTGGCTTCTGAGTGGAAAGAACGTAGGGCTCAGAAGGAAATGATAGCCTCTTGTAGACTGGAACATAGTCAAAGAAATGCAGAAACAGTCAAAGACATACATCAACAAGAAAGGGTGAAAAAAAATTCACAAGTTAGGTTGATGAGTCTCAAAGCTTTGTTTTTCCTCCCATGTACCCCATCTAATCTCCCTGCTTCTTGGACATCATCTCCTTCTCCAAGTCTAGGAAGAACAAAGAAGTGATGTCAGAACATCTTATTAAAATTTCTCCCCTGCCTTCAGAGCTATCTCAGAACATCTTTTCAAAATTTCTTTCTCTCTCACACACACACTCACACACCTATCTATCATAGAGCTCTAACATACAGCTCCACTGTGTGATCAGCATTTTTATCTGTGAATCCCCCCACCCAGCCACCCCTCCCTGTAAGCCCAGATTTACCTGTTAAGCTGATTTCGAGTCCTGGTATTTCATGATGTTTGTTTGTTTGGTAGTGCTAAGAATCATCATGTGCTAAGGCTTCGTACATGCTAAGCACATGCTCTATCACTGAGCTACATCCTTAGCCCCTCACTATAATATTAACTTCATAGTTAACTTCAACTACTGGGTGGGTAATTAATGGAAAGAGGTAAGCTCTCTGTAAACAATGACCATATTTCATCCTTCTCTATTGCACCCACAGAACTCAAGTCAGTGTACAGCAAACCTTAGTAAAAGGTAGCTAAAGAAATTAACACTAGATCTTAGATATGCTCACTACTCAAAGCAGAGCTATTTCAAAATAACATGGAAACCATTAACCAGAAGACTTACTTGTATTTGCAATGATCCACAAGATGGACATCCTTAGCAGCTGGTTTTCCCAAAGTGTCCTTTAAGTAAAAAAGAAGGTATTGGCACTAGTGATAATGGGATTTATAAGGAACTAATGTCAGCAAGCATTATTAAACATTCCAACAACTTAACCTCATCTATGCTTCATGATACACATGGAAGGAAGTATTATTATGTTCATACTGATGAGGAAAGCCAAGGTTTCCAGAAGCTGAGAGACTTATTCAGTCACATGACCCTAAGTAGAAGTGCTAAGGTTTTAACGCAGGTCTGTCTGATTTAGGAAATTTAAATTCACTGAAACCATGCTGCCCTCCTTTGAACTCAGAGATCATGGCTTGCAGCCCATTTCTGTAAATTATACATGCACATACCATAAACACTGGCAGGTAGGCCAGGCCGAAGGATGTATGTAGCTCACATACAAATTCTGGTGGGCATGAAAAGTACTTAAAAATAAACTACTCAAGCCGGTGCTTGAGCCGGTGGCTCACACCTGTAATCCTAGCTAATCAAGAGGCTGAGATTTGAGTTTCATGGTTTAAATCCAACCTGAAAGTCCCTGAGACTCTTATCTTCAATTCACTACAAAAAAAAACCAGAAGTGGGGGTGTGGCTGAAGTGGCAGAACACTAGCCTTGAGCAGAAAAAGTCAAACAAGAGCACAAGGCCCTGAGTCCAAGCCTCAATACTAGCAATAAATAAACAGGTGACAGGATACTTGCAAAAATCCAGATTTCCAATTTCTCTAAGGAGACCTGGTAAATCAGGCCTCTACACTAACTTGCAGTCATTGGCTGGAGCTCTTGGCAGTCTCTGGCTCAATCCTTCATTTACCTTCTGGCCCCTGGGCACTGGGTCTAGGACCCCCAAGTCCATTCTCCCTTGTTAGTGAGAAGGTAAACATGATGATGGAACTTAAGTCATATTTGCTTTTGCTGCTTTGGTACATAGTAGAGGTCAGTGACTTAGGTGCAGAATGAATACCTTATTCCTGTTTTTATTATTTAACAAAGTTTCTTGAACTCATTTGTTCCTATTTGATTAAAACTATCAAACAATGCATGCATCTCAGATATACTTAGTTTAGCCCCTGGAAGTTTTATTAATGCTTTTTCTCGTAATACCATCATATATTATATGGAAATTTCAGACAAGGAAATTTAGGGCTTTAAGTTCTTCAATTAAGGCAAACAGTCATAGAGTTAAAAGGACCAACACAGACTGAAAACTAAAGGTTCCAACCTCTGGCTTCATTTCTTAGAATCATTTGCAAAGTCTTAAAAGAAATGAGGATTTCTGGAATCCGTCTCCAGACACTCTGAATAAATGGATTCATTGTTAAATCTAATTATACTATACAGACAGAATTAGGAACCAATGGTTTAAACCAGGGGTTGGCAAACTGGAGCCCTTAACTCAATCCAGCCCACACTTTTTGTTGATGGTGGTGGTGGTGGTCATGGGGCTTGAACTCTGGGCTTGGGTCCTGTCCCTGAGCTCTTCAGCTCAACACAAGCACTCTACCACTTGAGCTACAGCACCACTTCCGGTTTTCTGGTGGTTAATTGGAGATAAGGGCCTCACAGACTTTTCTGCCAGGAATGTTTTGAACTGTGATCCTCAGATCTCAACCTCTTGAGTAGCTAGGATTACAAGCATGAGCCACCAGAGCCCAGTCCAGTAGAACCCATGGACTATTTCTACATTTTCAACTGATCAGAAAATAATTTTGTAATGTGAAAATTACATACCATTAAAATTTCAGTGCCCATACATTGAGTTATTATTAGAAAGCAGCCATGCTCATTTGTTGACCTACTGCCTGTGGCTGCTTTTCCTCAGCTACAACAAAGTTGAGTATGAGACCAAATAACTCTCAAAATACTTGCATTGGCATAAAAAATAATTGACTTCTGGCTTAAACCTTTGGAGTTGTAGCATATACCAGTCACATGACCAGAAAAGCAAGAAGATTTTGCAAAGGAGAACTGACATAAATGCTAATACATTCATCTCACCACTGAGAGGAAACCTAATCTTATCAGTTCTACCCAGGTAGAAATGCTCTTTGAATGAAAACAATCACTGTTGTGGTTCTATTCAGATGATTGCTGATTACTTTCATAGATTTCCAGGCCTGGTTTTTGGTGTATTCTGCGTCAACAAGTTTTGGATTTTTCCGAGATAGAAGAATGAGAGGATCCCGTTCTGGACTTGTCCTATGAAAGAAGCACATGATGTAAACCTATAAAGCCTACATCGTAATCATAATACTGTTTCCAGTCTCTGAAAGTGGAGCAGCAAGGGGAACCAGATAATGTCTATCTACACACATGGATAGTTCATGCTCTCTGTGGCTGGGGATGGGGATCCTCTGTACCATACCATCTAAGAGGTCCTGATTCTTCCCCTACTGTACTCTCCCAGGATAGGGAGTGTTTTACTTTCTCTCTTGTATCTAGTCTGTGAGGGCATGTGGTTCTGGTCATATAGCTATATCTCAGAAATGATTTCCTCTCCAGAAAGGTCCATGTAGTCACTGATATGCACCGCTTATCAAATAGTTTTATAAACATTTGTGTGTATGTTATGTAAAATCCAATACATGTAAATTAAAAATAATACAGGCTGGGCCTGATGGCTCTAGCTTGTACTCCTATCCACTTGAGAAGAGGAAACTAGGAGAGTTTGTAGTCTGAAGACCAGCCCATGCAGAAAAATAGTTCTTGAGTCTCCATCTCAACCAATAGCTGGAAATAGTGGCATTAACCTGTCATCCCAGGTTAATGGGAGAAACATAATGGCTGGGCACAGTAGTGTGTGTTTATCATCCCAAGCCACACAGGGGAAAGCACAAATAGGAAGATTTTAGTCCATGCATAAAGGAGACCCTATCTGAAAAAAATAACAAACACAGCTGGGCACCAGTGGCTCATGCCTGTAATCCTAACTACTGAGGATCACAGTTCAAAGTCAGCCAGGGCAAGAAAGTTGAGTCTCTTATTTCCAGTTAACTACCAAAAAAGCCAGAAATGGAGCTGTAGCTCGTGTTAAAGAGTGCTGGCCTTGAGCAAAAATGCTCAGGGAAGCTGGGCGATGGTGGCTCACGCCTGTAATCCTAGCTACTCAGGAGGCTGAGATCTGAGGATCACGGTTCAAAGCCAGCCCGGGCATCTGAGGATCACGGTTCAAAGCCAGCCCGGGCAGGAGAGACCGTGAGACTCCAATCTCCAATAAACCACCAGAAAACCGGAAGTGCGCTGTAGCTCAAGTGGTAGAGCGCTCACCTTGAGCTGGAGAGCTGAGGGACAGCGCCTAGGCCCAGAGTTCAAGCCCCACGACCGACAAAAAAAAAAATGCTCAGGGATAGTGCCCTAGCCTTGAGTTCAAGCTCCAGGATGGCATACACACAAAACAAAAACACACAACAGAACTGGAGGTGTAGCTCAAGGAGCAGAGCATCAGCCATGAGTGAAAAAAAAAGAGCGAAAGATGAGTCCTTAAGTTTGAGCTCTAGTGCCAGCACAAAATAATAACACAAAAAGGACTAATAGAGTGTCTCAAGTGGAAGAGTGCCTGCCTAGCAAGTGTAAGACCTTGAGCTCAAATGGTCGCAATAAACAAATAAATAATAACCCTCCAATGAAATAAAAGCCGAGCATGGTGACTCAGGCCTCTACTCCTAGCTACTTGGGAGGCTAAGGCAGGAAGGCCACAACTTTGAGGCCAGCCTGGGAAACACAGCAAGACCCTATCCCCAAAAAACAATTAAATAAAAAAAAGGAAAAAAACTTCAAAGGGATCAGAGATATGGCTCAGTGGTAAAGCACACGCCTAGTATGTGCAAGGCTCTGGGTTCAGTCTCCAGCCCATCCAAATACAAACAAACAAAAACATACTAAAGAGCTCAAAAACCTGGAGACTACATGTAGGAAAAGTCCAAGTAGCAGTTTACTGTCCAAGCAAGGAGGGGAGCAAACAGTATGATGTGATAAATACCACCAAAACTATAAACCCCTGTCCCTTCATGGTCTTTTTCACTCATGCACATGACTGTGCATTTGTACCAGGTATTTCTCTTGGCTCTGAGAATATGGAGCTGAACAACACAGGCAGGTCATTCCACTTCATTGTCCATATATCCCTCTTTATTTCTACCAGCATCAGGGCTATTAAGCACAGCTTGGAAGTCACATGGTCTGATGGCAAAGGCAATTGGGATACCTGGTGATGATTCCTATTCTGCACTAACCATCAGAAACATGACCATAAACATAGTTTATGGAGGATTTCTGGAATCCATCGCCAAAGAGATGGATTTTTGGTGGTTAGAGATAAGAATCTCATGGGACTTTCCTGCCCAGGCTAACTCTGAACCTGGAACATGATGAAATCTTTGTTCTGTTGACATTATAGAGACATTCATTGTACCTATCCACTCCCTGACTTAGATGAAGTGTACTTCTTTAACTTCCAGTTCAATTGAGTAATGGAGACAGGCATGGTAATGCTTGGCTGCAATCCCATCAGTCAGGAGGCTGAAGCAAGAAGATTTGAAGTTTGAGGCTAGCTTGGGCTCCACAGTAAGTTTCAAGACGGCCTGGACTACATAGCAAGACCATTTCTTGAAAGTACAAAATCAATCCAGGAGCTGGTGGCTCACGCCTATAATCCTAGCTACTCAGGAGGCTGAGATCTGAGGATCATGGTTCAAAGCCAACCTGGGCAGGAAAGTCTGTGAGACTATTTTTTTTCCATATATATTGTATTTTTTTTTTATTGTGAAAATACCGTACTGGGCTGGGAAGGTGGCTTAGTGGTAGAACATTTGCCTTGCATGTATGAGGCTCTGGGTTCAATTCCTCAGCACCACATAAGCAACAAGAAAAAAGCCAGAAGTGGCACTGTGGCTCAAGTGGTAGAGCGCTAGCCTTGAGCTGAAGAGCTGAGGGACAGCGCCCAGGCCCAGAGTTCAGGCCCCACAACCGTACCCCCCCAAAAAAAAAAATACGGTACAGAGGGATTACAATTACATGAGCAAGGTAATGAGTACATTCCTTATCAAGTATTGTTGCCGCCTCCTTTGTTTCCCCTTCCCATCCCTACCCAACTGCGCCACACCGCCCCCCACCATGACTCTTATCTCCAATAAACCACCAGAAAACTGGAAGTGGAAGTGGTGCTATGGCTCAAGTGGTAGAGCCTTGAGCTGAAGAGGTCAGGGACAGTGCCCAGGCCCAGAGTTCAAGCCCCACAAATGACACACACACACACCCACACACACACACACACAAAAGAAGTCAGAAAAATAATCACCTTGATCCTCGGAAATATGCTGTAGAATTTTTCTTATTCCATGGCCACTGAGCCGCTGACCTAAGAAATGCAGACTCTGATCAGTTTCTATGATTTTTTTTCTAAACTATATAAGGTTGTATCTTAACCATTTTATGAAATTAGCATACATTAATAGTACAAAAGGATCTCATTGTCATTAGTCTATAGATGCAGAATGAACTTTAAACAAGTTTACCTACTCTATTATATTCCCCAACCCCCTTTACTCTCCCAATTTTTCAAACAGTATTTGGTGGATTTCATTAAGTTAAAATCCTCACACATATGAACACGAGTGAAAAATTTGGTATTTGGCTTTTTGGGCTTGGCTTATCTTGCTCAACATGATCTTCGGCTCCATCCATTTTGCTGTAAAAGGCATTTCACTCTTCTTTTTTTTTTTTTTTTACATACAGCAATAATTTATTCTGGAATGTTCAGTTAGTTTCTGTTGAGACACAATCCCTGTCTCATTAATAAAAGAGTAGCCATCTCGCCTCAAATCATTTCACTCTTCTTTATAGCTGAATAATATTCTGCAGTGTATAAATACTACATTTTCTCCATTTGTCAGTTGTTGGGCAGCTGTGCGGTTAGAATAGGGTTGTGATAAAGATGGGCATATAGCTATCCCAATTGTATACTAACTTACATTCCTTTGGATATAAGTCCAAGAGTTGTAGAGCAGGATTAGATAGTAGTTCCATATATAATTTCTTGAAGAATCACCAAACTGGTTTACACAGTGATTGCATTAACTTGTATTCCTACTAACAGTGTATAAGAGTTTCTTTTTCCCCCATATTGTCACCAGCATTTGTTGTTGTTTTCTTGATCATTGCCATTTTGACTGGGGCGAGACTGCATTTCTTCTGTAACTAACTGTTGAAATTTTCTTCATATATCTCAGTCTGTTGGTATTTAAAAAACATACTGATTTTTGTATGTTAACTTTATATCTAGGAGGGTTTTTTTTGTATAATCTTTATAGTTTTTTAAGTACATGATCATATCACCCTCAAATAGGGATAATTTATCTCTTCCTCCTCTACTTGAATCCTTGTTTTCTTACTCATGTCTTACTGCTCCTACCAGGAATTTTAATACATTGACTAGAAGTAGGACAAGTAGACAATCTTTTCCCATTCCTGACTTTAGAAACGGTTTCAGTTTTCCCCCATTTAAGTATGATGTTGGCTAAAGTTCTGTCATATACAGCATTTATTATGTTGTGAGCCATTGCTTCTATTACCTGTTTCTTCATAGCATTTATAAGAAAGAATGTTGAATTTTGTCACAAGCTTTTTCTGCATCTGTTGAGATGATTATGTTATTTTTGTCCTTTTTCTGTTTATGTGGTGTATTATGCTTATTGATCTGTATTATGCTAACCCATTCTTGTATCCTTGGAATAAAAGTTACTGGAGCATAGTATATAATCTTTTTTAACATGTTAATAAGTTTAGTTTGTAGGGTTTTTTTCTTCTCTGTGTGACTGTCCTGGGCTTGAACTCAAGGCCTGGATGCTGTCTCTGACCTTTAAAACCAAAGGCAAGCACTCTACCACTTGAGCCACATCTCCACTTCTGGCAATTTTTGGTGGTTAATTACAGATAAGAGTCTCATGGGACTTTCCTGCCCAGTATAAGCTAGCTCTTAATCGTGACCGTCAGCACTTAGCTTCCTGAGTAGCTAAGATTATTGGTTTAAGCCACCAGTACCCAGAAGCTTATAATTATTTTTATTACTTATGTTTACATTTATGTTCAAAGGAAGATGCTATAAATTTTTCTTTTTTCTTGTGTCCTTACAGGGTTTTGGCTTCAGAGTAATAGACAGAATGAATCTGTAGCATTTTTTCTTTTTTTTAATTTTTAATTTTTGGCAATGCTAGTAGGCAGGCATCTACCATTTGAGCTATGCACTCAGATCTTCGTACTTTTAGTAATTTTTCAAATAGGGCCATGTATTTATGCTTGGACTGCCCTAGACTATCATCCTTATATTTATGCTTATGATTATGTATTTAGCAAGGATGATAGGTATATGTCACCAAACCCAGCTTTTATTATTTGAGGTGCAATTTTGTGAACTTTCTGCCTAAGCTGGCCTCAAACCTCCTCTGCCTCCCAAATCTAAAATTATAGGTATGAGCCATCACACTCAGCAGCACATTTCTCCTTTCTATTTTATGAGATACTTTGTTGGGTTTTTTTGGGTCCAGTCGTGGGGCCTGAACTCTGGG